GGGGCTGAAAGTTGGAGGTCAAAGCCTGCTAGGGTTGGTTTCCTTTGAGAGCTGGGAAGGAAAATGTCAGACTTCCATTCGGGGCATGCAGATAGATGGTACCTTCCCCTCCCCCTCCCGGGTCCATCAATCTCTACGTTCCTTTGTATGTGTGCATTCAAATTCTCCATTATAACAGTATCACCTCTTTTTAACTAGTGTGTCTGCAAGGACAGATTCCAAAAATCCATGAATATCCCCAGGAGTTAGGGCATCCACATAGGAATGGAGCAGATGTAAAAGAATTCAGTCCTCAGCACTGCCTCAGTCCCCATTTCCACAGAGGCCGAATAAGAAGGATTCAGACAACCAAGTAATCCCAGACTCCTAAAGCCAGTCTGAGTCTATGGTATCCTAAAGCTATGGGATCAGAGAGAGTGGCACTGGAAGAGTGGCTTGGCCCAGGAGTGGGTGGTGGGGGGCAGCTTCTTCATTACAGGTCATGGAGGAACAAGTTGGGATGCAAAGTAAATTCATGTGGAGAAGGGAAGTTGAGGAAGTTTGTTTCTGATGGCATCTGCTGTTCTCTTTTTCTTTCCTTTTTTGTTTAAAATATATTATACGGGGTTACACAAGGCTATTTTGTGCAAGCAGTAATTGTATTTTTATCATTCATCCACAGTCCCATTCTTGCCTTTTACATCCCCTCTCCCTTGATCCTTTAAACAGTTTCCTTCTACTGTCAGGACATATGCACATACATGTTTTTATATTTTTATATGAAATCTAGAAAACACAAGTGAGAGATGTGGGAGGGCCAAGTCCACTGTGGGTAGCGTCCACTCCCTAGGCAGTTGGTCCTGGGCTATATCAGAAAGTAGGCTGAGCAAGCCATGGAGAACAGTGTATTCTCCCATGGTTTCTGCTTCAGCTCTTGCCTCCAGGTTCCTGTCTTGAGTTCCTGCCCTGATTTTCCTCAGAACTGTGACATGGAAGTATAAACCAAATAAACCCTTCCCTCCTCATGCTGCTTTAGGTCATGGTATTTTATCAAGGCAATAGGCACCTCCATACTGATTTCCATTGTGGCTAGACTAGTTTGTGTTCCACCAGCAGTGGATAACAATTCCTTTTGTCTTTCTCCTTCCCAGCCCATTGTGACCACAATTATGATGCTCTGGCACATAGCTACAGAGTGTGTCAGGTTCATGCTTCGACAATGAAATACATGAGGCTGGGTGCTTATAAAGACAAAAGGGTCTACTTACCTCACAGTTTTAGAGTACTGAATCTGAGATCAGGAGTCCCACTGACTTGGTGAGGGTGCACATCACAGCAGGAATTGGGTTGGAGTAAGCGATCACATCTCTAGCCAGCAAGCAGCAAGGAAGGATACCACAATCCCTCTTCAGAGCACCCCCAATAACTTAAGGACTTCCCACAAGCCTCCCCATCACCTCCCAGAGGTTCCCTCTCTCCCAGTAGCACAGCATTGGGAACCAAGCCTTTCTATGGGAGCCTTTGTGGAACACTGAACATTCAAGCCTGCACCAATACTCGGCATATCTGCACAGTGGCTTATCCCCTAGATCCAGGTACTAATGCTCCGTGGCTTCTAAAAAACACAGTACCATCTGAATCTGCCTAGAGATCGGACTTTATCCCCTGGATCTTGCAAGAGTATACATCTTCCCTTAGCTGCCCCGCCATTCTTCAAATAGCTGTGACTGCTAGCATAAATATAGTCTTTGCTATTTTGTATCATACTGATACTATGAGCAGTTAACTTTGTATCTCCCAGTTACTCCAGTCACATTGCACTCCTCATGCACAGAATGTATCTGGAGATGAGGAGCCTAGAAACTTTTCAGAAAAGGAGATGATGACATACTATAGTTTATTCCTAGTAAAGTGGTTAAAGCTAAAAAAAAAAAAAACTATATGCCGATATAAAGTCTGTACCATGGTGGGAATATGCACTGCTCTGGAAAACATATCCATAAAAGTTAAAAATATATGCATTTATCATGTACCTAGTGCATCTATCTCTCGAATTTGCACAATACAAATTGGCCTCCTAGAGCAGCATGGTGCAAAATGGCATTGCACTAGAGAAAATTTCACTGTGTATCAACCGTAACCTGGATAGACATGGCTGCTGTGTCCACACACTAGAATAATACATACAACAAGGGTAGATACAAGCTATAGCCATCAGAAATAGCATCAGCGAATATCATCAACCCAATCCATGTGACGTCTGGTCTGTTTCTGCCAACTACACAGAGAGGCAGGGAAGAGACTGTGAGACAGGAGAGTGGGTCTGCTACCCAGAGGAAAAGAAATCAAACAGAAAATTGCTACAGTCACGAACTGAGGACCCAACAGTATATTTTGATACTATTTTGTTTATGTGTAGATACAAGATTTGTGACAGTTATTATATGCAATTAAATTTTCCTTTCCACTTTTACTGTGCATGTGTGCATTTGGATGTATGTGGTGTGTGTGTTTCTGACAGACATTATTGGGAACTACAAAGTAAAATATTTATATCACACCAGATAGCACATTTTTCCAATAATAAATCCAGAACATCCCTCCACCCCCCAAAAAACGGGGTGTTTAAGATATGAGTATACTTAAGGTCCTATATACTTAAGAACTATAGCTTACACCAAAAAGCTAGTAAACAAAATTATCTGGCTTTGGGACTATTGAGGAATTTACAGCTTCACCTTGGAATATGTAACATCAATGGTGCCCAGGCTTAGCCACCCATCCAAACTTTCCGCCCCATGTTTTAAGAGCTTTGGTACCCTGGGCATGCACCTCCCAGCCCTCAAATGTACTTTTACCTTATACCGCTCAACCACCCCCATACACCAGGAAGGTGAGATAAAGTCCTGGAAGTAGACTGGGCTCACTGGGCTTGGATTACTGATGTCCTATTACTCTGCATGTGGTCTTTAAAAGAGAGGGTGATCTCCATATTCACACTACCTCTTGGCCACAGACTCATTCGGAAGGTGCACAGCTGGAAGAAATTCAGAATCCAAAGCCCAAGGCCCTATACAGAGTCATCTTTGCCTGAAGTTAAGGGCAGCACTGCCTTTTAAGTGTAAAGAAAAGACTGCAGAGAACCTAATGGTACGTGTCTACAGTCTCACTGGGCTGGGGACTGAAGAAGACAGACCACAAGCTCCAGGCTAGCCCCAGAAACTTAGTGAGGACTGATTCAGGAAGAAGGAAAGATGACTGGAAATAGAGCTTGTTTGTAAAACACATCGCTAGCACGCAGGAGGCCCAAGGTTTAATCTCCAGTACTAGAAGGAAAATTTTAAAAGTACATGCAGGGGGATTTCATTGTAAACACCCAGGCTGCCAGCATCACTGCATGCCTTCATTTGGATGTCAAGTATGTTTCTTAAAATCTAGCAAGCTCAACATATATTTTTTGCACACACACATACACACACACAAATATAATTATAGAATTTCTAGTACTCTGCACTATCATTTCCCCCAAACAAAACTCAACCCTAAGTGATTGACTTGTAAACACACAGTTTGGCAGTTTGGAAATGCATGCAGGTGTGAGGACCTACGGGGAAATGAACAGGATGCTGGGAATCATACCTGCAGCTCCTTTGGGTCTCGGCTCCCTTGGGGGTGGAGAAGCTTGGTTAGACATGTATGGATTCTGCAGAACAAAGTAGTCATGGGCTCTTGTCCCCTTGCCTTGCAAGTGTCTCTGTGGAAAATTCCCTTCCCACCTCCTCGCCAAGAAGAGAAAATACCATGTTCATGAAACCAAAATTGCAGGAGGCGGTTCCCATCCGTGCAGAAGCAGTGGGGACGAACTCCCATTGCCCTCTGCTTGGAATGGAGAGCTCATCTTCCTCCTAAGGGAAGCTGTGTGGGGTCAGGAGACAGTTAGCTTACCAACTACTGTGTGCCAGACCAGTTCCTCACTTTTCTACTCCAACACCTACTTCATTTTGATTTTGTTCTTGACAGGAGAAACTCTCCCCTTCCGCAAAGATTCAGATTGCCAATTCTTAAAAACATTTTTAATATTTTCCATAAATACAGAGAGAGAGAGAGAGCGACATGCATACACACACACACACACACACACACAGAGAGAGAGAGAGAGAGAGAGAGAGAGAGAGAGAGAGAGAGAGAGACCAACACAGACACCCACAGACACACCCACAGACACACCCACACACACCACTTAAAACTGATACCTATGGCTGTGAGGAGATGAGAGAAGAAAATGAAGTACTGGCCAGCATCAGCCCTCTGAAAGCCCAGTTCATTTTTCTTCCAAATTAAAAAGAAATGAAAATTCAAGCTTTGCATCTCAGCTATTTGAAAACCACATTTCCAAAATATTACTATTCCCTCTTTGTGAGGGAAATACGAAAAACACATGGCTTGAATGATCCTCTCAAGCTACTGGTAACAGGTAAAGCAGGAACTGGGGGTGGCTTCAAATAGATAAACTCAGAAACATAGTAAGTTGGTTTAAATGAGGATCGCAAGACGAGGCAGAAGCTGTGGAAGACCGTAAAGCAAGCAAAGACCATGTCTAAAGCCCTGGATTATAGACAACGAAGAGCCCCTTGACCTTCGTTCCCGATGAGAAAACCTATAACATGCCTATTGCTCAAGACACACCTAACTCCCATCTTCTTTATGTTTCTTTGTGTTCTCTCTTGGCACATTGCATATGTGGCCAAGGTACCTGCCACTACACAACTCACTTTGCACAACTAGAGTGTGACTTCATAAGGGCAGGACTGTGTTTTATGTATCTCTTACTAATTTACATAGATGTAGCAAGAACTTTCTATGGCTTTGTGCATAGATGAATAAATGAATGGTAGATTCTGTACATGATGCTGTCGATTTGACTTCCCCCAATATCCATGATGTGACCCTTCAATGACTGAAATGCCTCGACCCATTCCAGAATTTTAAATGCTTTTGCATTTCTAACTTGTGTCTTCAAGGTTAGTGAAGTGTGAGTCTCCAGCACCAGACGCTGGCGGAGAAGCACACCAGCATTGTTCACGGGGAGCTATGACAAGGAGGAAACAGGCCAGCAGACTGCAGCCCTGGGACTGTCCTGGAGATCCAGAGTGCCAACGCTCCTTAAGGGAAAATGTGGGCGAGGGTGAGTACTGACAGAAAACACGATTTTGTGATTCTCTTTTCTCCTGTGTCACGGGGATCTATTCCTCTCACACCATGTGACGAATGACATATCAAACCTGGAATTGATATCTGAAGAGAAAACACGAATCATAGGACATCAGATGTTTCTCTGTTTGGTGGGTTTTCACATAGATAGGATGCTGTGCACTGGTAGGAATCTTCTTCCTACCAAGAGTCTCTGCTGCTGTTATCTGGACACAAGTGGGACTTAGGAGAGCAGGTGCCTGTGCAAACCTGGACGTCTCCAGACCTATTCAAAGAGGCAGCCTCTTTGTGTGTGTGTGTGTGTGTGTGTGTGTGTGTGTGTGTGTGTGTGTGTGTGTGAGAGAGAGAGAGAGAGAGAGAGAGAGAGAGAGAGAGAGAGAGAGAGAGAGAGAGAGAGAGCTTTCCTGCACTGATCATGTTGGATAACTTCATTCATATTAAAGCACTCCAAAAGAAAATGAACTTTCTCTAGGGTAGTTCAAATTAAAATGATCAGCTGTTCCTAATGTCTCAGGCTTATGATACTACTTGGGAGGCTGAGGCAGAAGTTCAAGACCTACCTGGGTCACTGAATGTGTTCAAGGCCAGCTAAGGAAACTTAGCAAGACTGCTTCAAAGTAAAAAGAGGGATGGAGCAGCAGTTCAGTGGTAGAATCCTTGCTCCCCATGAGGGAAGCCCTCGATTCAGTCCCAGGCCACACTTCACAAACAGATAGACACACACACACACACTCACACACACATACTACACACCCATAACATACCATACACAGAGAAACATACACACATATACACAAAACATGCACACACAAATGCACACCATACCACACAGACACACATGACCACATACACACCACACACACCAAAGCACACATACACACCACTACCACTACAGACACACCACATACACCCGCACACACAATTATACCACACATACAGAGAAACATATACACATAACATGCACACACACACCCCACCACCATATACACACCACACATACACACACACACATCATATACCTCACCACACACACACACCACACCACATACAGAGAGACATACACACATACACCACCACCACATGCACATATGAAAATAAGTTCATCTAGCTAAATATGAAATCCTAAAGACTCTTAAAAATAAATAGAAAAGCGTCTGTGTAACGTAGCTATGGACTGACTCCTGAAGGAGGCAGGACTCGTGGCATAGTGCCGTGGCACTGGGGATCAGGAGCATGATGCAGTGGCACTGGGGATCAGGGACATGGTGTGGTGGCACTGGGGGTCAGGGATCTGCGTTGGACCTCTCTTACTTAGTAATGCCAGCCAAGAGCCAGCTGCTTGGCCTCTTGTGTCCCCTATCTCAGACCTGATAAAATGGTTCTAGGAGGGTTAGAGGCTGAAAACAAAACGCTTAAAGTGTTGCACTTTAAAGGAAAAGTTAGTTCTTCTTTGACACCAGACAGCTGCTTTCTGTGTCACACAGAGAAGCACCAACTACAGAGAAAACCTCGGAGCAGCCACAGCAAGCAGACAGACCTCTTTGGCTGACAGGAGAAAGGGCTGTAAGGTAGCTATTACAGTAAATAAAAAGACTGCTCCAGAAGTCATTTAAAAACCACTTGAATTTTCACGCCACCTTGGTGTTTTAGATAAAGTAGCGATTTCCAGCAGCAACAGTGAAGATTCCCAGACACGAAATTGTCTCAGCTTTAAGTTGTTCAGTTGAGAATGAACAGGAGTTGAGAACAGCTCAGGGGCATGTTTAGCCAGGACCACCATTTGGGAAAAGCTCTGCTGAAGTCATAAACACTCTCAAAACAAAGCTTCCAAAAAAAAAAAAAAGAAAGAAAGAAAGAAAGAAAAGAAAAACTCTCAGTAAAGGAAAACAGGCCCAGAGATCACCATTCCACTATGACATCAGCAAGCAGTGGAGAGGTCACGCCACACCTGCAGGGCCATCTGAGGGCTGCAAAGGGGCTAGGCACCCTTTGCAGCCCAGCCTTGTTTGATTTTGATTTGTTTTCAGAGACCTGGTAGTTAAACATTTACCTAGGCACACCTGGCGAAGACAAGTAGGCTGGCTCAGAAGAGCCGTGAACTGAAAATTGCTTTCGTTGGCATTCATACTCTGCTGCCTCAAAGGAAGGCAGGAAGCCGACCATTGGAAAGGCAAGTTGTGGTTAATCTGAAGACAAAGCTAGATCATACTTCACAGGGACAAAAATAGTCCATGGCCACTGTCCCTTCTTCCCTAATAGATACAAGTTCAGTGCAGAGCCAAGGTCAACATTTTCTCTGTATACTTATGTCAGATTAAGAGGGGGATGTGATGTATGTGGTGTCCAAAGGAAACTTCAGCTCCCCAAACTCCAAAGGGCAGCCCATATATCCAGAAATGAGCTCAAAATGGACTAGAAGATTTCTGGCAGAGAAAACACTGTTTCTCAACAACGAGTGAAATTGGTTCCTGTTAGCCAGAGAGAGGCATTTGTAGTTAGCTTTGGCAGAAGAAACATATGGCATCTATACACACATCAAAGCCTGTGCTGACCTGCAGCCTCTCTCAGTATCACAAGTACCTACTTGTGACACATACCAAAGTTCATGCTAACATCCTGGCCCTGCTGACCTCTTTACCCTAAACTCCCTCCAGCTTATGGGTTTTCCTCCTCATAGCTGCTTCTTATAACCCAGCTATTCTCAAATCTATCATCTATCTATCTATCTATCTATCATCTATCTATCTACCTATCTATCTATCTATCTATCTATCTATCTATCTATCTATCTATCATCTATCTATCTTCATCATCTATCATCATTATCTATCATCTATTCTCTCTCTTTCTCTCTCTCTCTCTCTCTCTCTCTCTCTCTCTCTCTCTCTCTCTCTCTCCTTTCTCCCTTTCTCCGGCTATCTCATTAGCCCCATTCTCTCCTGTCCTGTTTCCATAGCCCTGACTATGGTCAATCTACTTCTTCGCCTGCTCTGGACTCTTCCAGATGCCTCTGGTAGTCCTCTCTCATATTTCCAATACAAATCTTAACCATATGGAGCAGTCTTTTTGGCAGTTTCTTTACTATGCCCCCTCATGTATATCTGTTGCTAAGTCCCAGGCGAGGTACACATTGATCCCTTTTCAAGGGCCCAGCCTCTCGTGACCAAACCAAGTTGCTGACTTGACTTGTATAAGGTCTAGCTCTTTGCCTCCACTGCCTTCAGCCACCCACCATATTCAACTCCAAATATCAGGGTCTGCCTCTTCAGCTGCTTCTCTTCCACCTACTCTAATCATTCATCTCTCCTCATTCACTTGGTAAGTGTACTTGCTCTTGGTCTCTCTGACTCCCGAAAACTACTCAAACCTCCTGGGTACCCGCCATGTCAAAGGCTACACCTCTCATTGCCTGGCAATGCTTCTCCACTGTGATTAGGGCATCTCTTGGATAAGACCCTTACCCCTCTCCCTATATTGGAATCCTCCTCTGGTGAGTTTCTGTTTTTGACTTTATTCCCTAAATCTCCCCCCTCTTATCCTTGCTCTGTTCCCAGCTCCCTGCTCCCCCTCCACTCGTCTCTCAGATCCTGGAGTTTGACTCACCTGCCTTCTCTAATCTCTTTTCCTCCTCAGACTCAGAGAGGATACTAAAGCCTCACTGATTCTGCAAATGCCTTGGCCTCAGTATATATAGCTCAATGGCCAAAAAAATGGCACACTTCCTTCCTAAATTCTTGCAGAGTTCTGCCACTATACAAGTGAATGATCTAAAAAAAAAAAAAAAAAAAAAAAAAAACCTTTCTATCTCTGAACTTTCTTTGCTCCCCACTTTTGAGAGTCTCACAAATCCAAGCCATGCTGGGTCTCCACTCACTCTGATCACAGGGATTCAAATGTCTTCTGGGTGTGAGTACTGTTGAAATGTTGTCACACGCTGTTCTGCCCTGTATAAAGCTGGGTTATGACCTTTTCTCTCTAGACCCAAGCATGCTTGTTCAAAAGTTGTCTCCAGAATCTCTAGCTTGGGTCAGGCTGCCCACCTGACTCTGACAGAAAGGAGAATAATACAGAATAGTTTCCCTGCTCCAGAAAAGAAAAAGCAACAAATAAACAAAACACCCCCGAAACTGTGTACTTTAAAATAGCATAGTAGTCCATCCCCAGAGATTACTACTGCTCATCCCATACTCCTCTTGGTTTTGTTAATGACTCTTAAAAATGAAAAGATATAACCACCAATGTTTAACCCTGTTGAGCCCCCCTTGCATACAATGCAGAGGTGACTGTACACATGTTCTTTAATCATCCTTTAAAGTATTCTGACATCCTTTGAGGTGTGTGGCAAGATTAGCTAGTGAGAGTTACTATCCTGCTTCCTTTAACCTTCCAGTTTCTCCTGGGCAAATGAAAATCATCCTAATTTTATTGGACCTTTACAAGTTTAAACCAAAAAGGATACTTGACCCAAAAAGGCATCTGAGAAGCATTCATCCACACTCTTTCCTCTGTCTCAAAAAGCTCCCTGTTAGCCATTGGCTGCAGTTGAGGCAGAAATGGAGGCTTCATCTTCTAACTTGAGGGAGAACATTTCACATATCTTGAGTACTCGGAATCACCAGTAAAGATAGTTGAAACACAGATCTCCAGACACTACCCATTCTCAGTGACTCTCAATCACAGCACCCTGGGTGGGGCCCAGGAATGGACCATTTTAGCAAATTTTGTGTCATTTGCTAATATGCAGAAAATCTGAAGGCTTTCTGATTGAGGCCATGGGTACTAATTTTGATCCCAATACTACATATCTAAGCTCTGTTAATCCCATGTTGAGAAGGTGCCTGCAGAAGAGCCTGCTGCCCTTGTCGTCATGGATTCTGTGAGTGCAGGTAGGTGTACATCACAGCGTATCTTGAAGACCTCTTCCTCTTGCACAAGTATCCTGTCTCCCAAAACTGAACCATGCACAGGCCATGT